TTGTTTTCTCACTTTCTCTCTCTCTCTGTCTCTCTCTGGTCAAATTAAAAAATAGTAATAATAGGAACCAACAGACAGAGTCATGGTTATGTCGCTGGACTCCCACGTAGTCAAATACGGATCAAGACCCAGACTGGAGAGCTTAAAACTCACACCAGGAGCATGTGTGTGCATGCCCCAAATCTCAAGAGGAGTATGGAGAAGGGATTGTGGTATGGCCAACTCTCCTGGGAGGTGATTTTTCATTTTCTGTCACTCTCTCTCTCTCTCTCTCTATCTCTATCTCTCCGGCAAGCGCACATGCCCTAAAGCAAAAATCTCTCTTAAAAAATAATAATAAGGGAACCAGCAGTTAGCGTAAAATAATAATAAATAAAATTATATAACATAATTATTAAAAAAGAAAAATAGCAAAATACATTAAAAAGTTTAATAATAACGGGAACATGATAGATAAGGTCCTGATTTTATGATAACATTGTGATAAGGGAAAGGGTGATAAAGATTTAGGTGTAAACCTTTTTGTTCCATCAATGGAACAAAATAGAAATATCTGAGACAAATTCAAATTATTCAACTTACAAGCAATTTGGTGTGTGGGGGGATTAGATCACACACACTTCGTTGAAAATAAAGTCCATCTAAATTATAGATTTAAAACACAAAATCATAATTATAGAAGTGCTAAAGGGAAACATATGAGTTATTATTTATGTAACCATTCCATGGGGAAAGGCTTTAGATACCATACTAAAGGCAAAAATCCATAAAAATAAAATATTTTACTACATATATTTTTTTAGAGAGATTTTTGCTATAGGGCGCATGCACTCGCCAGAGAAACAGAGAGACAGAGACAGAAAGCAAGAAATCTCCCCCTGGGGGCATGGCCGTACTGCAATTTCTTCTCCTCCATTCTCCTCTCGGGACTGTGGGCACGTACACACATGTCTAGTGTGAGTTTTAAGCTGCTGGGTCCAGGACTCAAACCAGAGTCAACTACATGGGAGTTCAGCAACATAATCATTACACCATCTGCTGGGCCCAAGAGTTTTAAGCCACTGGGTCCAGGACTCAAATCACAGTCAACTATGTGGGAGTCCAGCGACATAATCATCATGCCATTTGCTGTTCCCCACATTTTTTAAAAACCTAAATAAGGACTACCTGAAGTCCTTATCTAAAACGCATTACAGAGACTAAAAACCAAAATTAACAACTTAGAAGAAAAGCAAACTTACTTTGAAAAAAATATTTGTAGCCTAACAAAGAATTAAAGTGCGTTATATGTTAAAAAGCTACCCAATCAGTAAGGGAAAAAATGCAAGGGAAAATAGGACAAAGGATATGAACAGACTATTCATAAAACAAAGAACCAATAAACATAAAATGTTCATATAGATTTGTTAATCAGTCAACAAGAAAATACTATTTTTCACCTATCAAAATGACAAAATTTCTAAAATAATACCTAATACCAACATGATTTGGAAAGCTGACAGATTACTGCTATGACAGAAAATTTTATTTTTGCTAAGAGGAAAAAAATGATTCTTTACTTTCAAACCATTTTCTATAAAGATGTTAAATTTTAGAAACCTGAGATGTTAACAACTGTGCATCTCAGGTCATTGCTAGGAATGGTAAACTGGTTACCTGGCAGACAGCGTGCACCCCTGCTGCAGGTAGGCATTCAGGTTCCCAGTTGCTGCAAGTAACAGCCCCAGGTATGGAGGGGAAGGCTTCATGGGCCTAGAAGAAAACTCAGGGTGGAATTGCACACCAACGAAATAGGGGTGATCTGAAAAGAGAACAATCATCATGCGATTGAAGCAAACAAAAGAACTGCTTGAAAGTTCTTATCTTTTAATAAGAAAACTTAGTAAATCATAAGATCATTATTTCATTTCTTATCAATATAGTCACTCTCATGATCCATTTATGAGCAGAATTCCAAATTATAAAGCATATCTCACTTTATAAGAGATCTGAAAATTTATTGTGTGGAAGATGTTAGAGTGAGCCAAGTCAAGCAAAAAGTTTTCAATGTCAAGATGAGTTCTGCTTTCCCAAAAGCAGTCTGCATTTTGAACACCTTTGAAAGACTTAAACTGGCTCCATTTCCATGGTATCTCTTGGACAGTAGGCTGACATCTGGTCTTTCTTTTTCTTAGATGGCTTCAGGCCATTTCCTGCAAGGTCTTCTCCTTTCCCAAGGGAAGGGTCCCCTGGGATAAACAATCACAACGCTGACCCAGTGGACCACCCCAAGACTGCACCAGATACAACTGCTTTTCTGGTCACAGATTTAAGCTGGATATTAATCGTAGCAACATACAACTGAACTGGTACTCATATTTCAGCTTATGCCAATTTATCCTTTTGGGATGAAGAGTCTCTGAGTGATAAGAGGATAGCCTTTCAACATGTGAATGGTAGTTACAATCCAAGGTGGCAAGAGTTTTAAGTTATTCTTCCCTTCCTTATACTTTCCTGCATTGTGTGAACCTTTACAAAGAGTATGTATTACTTACTTTATCAAGGAGGGGAGATTAAGCTATTTTCATGGTGAAAATTGTAAAAAGCCCCTACTAGGAGCAATTCAAGTCTCCTAGAGGTAATAGAAACAAAAAAAAAGTAGCTTTTCCCAGTTATCTGGAATCCCACATTTCAGAATGGTGAGAATTCAATGGACAACATTTTTAAACCAGGGTAGCAGTTTTCTAGGATTCCGAATTCCTTCCTCCATCAGAACTCTAAAGAGCTATGTTTATTCTCAGATTACGGAACACATAGTTGAAGCAGCTCTCTAATCTCATAATCACTATAGTACAGAGCATGGTTAGTATGCTGTATTCTCATCTTTTTTTTTT